TGTGTGTGGTTTTCTATTGGTTTCAATCAATCTTCTTCAAGCCTCGGGTAATTAAGCAGAAAGAGAGAAAGATGAACAGAGAAAGAACAAGAGAAGGAGTACGATGATTGAGCTTTTAAATTAATTGGCATTGATCTACTAATGAACAAAAGACAATTATCACACACATATAAGCTAATTATACCCAAAAATAAAAAAATAAAAACAAAAAACAAAAGAAATTCTCATAAAAAAATAGTGGGAAAATTGAAGTGAACGGCATTGTGATGCTCTGTAAAGAATCAGGTTATCGATAATATCATAATCATAGAGGGGGGGTAAAAATATGATGACAGAGAAAAGCCAAGGAAGAGCAAGCCGCCAATTGTAGCAACAGTTTGTTGTGAGATCTTGGAGGCTAACATGCTTCCACCTACCACGGCTAACGAAGTACAGATGGTATGTCCTATCACTCCGACTGCATTTTTATGTGTTGCCAGCTGCATCATCAAAAGTTAACATATAAGTGACAAAAACAAATACTTGCATTGCTTTCATATGCACAATAATACAGAATTTCTGCTCTACTAAATTAGTCAACTTGTCAATCATAAACGAAAAGAAAGCAAAACAACAGAGGCCTTGGACAAATGCAATTTTGCTTGTAAAAGTCTTGCAATTATTGATGCAATTGGATTCTAGTTATAAAGCTTAATTGGACTAGGTGAAAACTGTCAATCTTGTCTAGTGTCAAATTCAGTGTGAGCTTAAAAGCAGCCTGACTTGTGGTTCCCAGCTCATGCAAAAAACAAAAGATTCACTAGTTAATTACATATTTTATCACTTTGCAGTTCACACACAAGATTTATTATTCCCTGCTTTCTCCCAGGAAATATGAAACATATCCCTCAGGGATGCTCTACTAACGATTAATGGTGAAAAACTGTAGTTCATTTTAAAGATACTGGTTTCTCCCAGCATGTTATCATCATAATTCCTGTTGTTCTGCCAATATCCAAAGAGTTCCAGGATAATAGGACCCATTTGTGTAACCTCTTAAATACAGTTGGTGACATTGGTGCAGTGAGTCACTTTTTGGCCATTATTGATGAGGTATAATGAGTTTGTTATAAATTTTCTAACATTATGTTTGGTTTGAGGGGAGGGGAAGAGAAATTTTTCCTTTATTTTTTCTTTTATTTTATTTACTCATCCAATTGAGGAGAAGGGAGGGGAGGAGAATTGAAGGGAATGGAGGGATAAAATTCTCTTCCCCTCCCTTTCCCTCCCCTCAATCCAAACATGCGGTAAGAGAAAATAAGCTACGAGGAAAGTAACCAGAACCAAAAATAATAAAACAATTTCACAAATTTGATTGAGAAGATAATGTCAAGAGAGAAAATCTTACAGCAATTGTTGCAATCTGGCTACGGTCACCCCACTCTGCCAGAAACATTAAAATAAATGACTGCATGATGAAAACAAAAACACTTAAAATTAAACACGGATTCAAGGGTCCAATCAATAAATTACCAATTTACCATTGAAAATCATACATTCATTTTATTCAAGGTTCAATTCTTAGCTAAGAACAAACATTATTTAACTATTTTATTTGAAAAAGTAACTAGAGAAATGATTCTAAATGAGTGGCAGTGCTGGAAATATAACTCCAAAAAAATTAGTGTACAAAATCTAGAAAAGAAGCGTCTGAAGCTTGTTTTCCCTTGACCACTCTCTGGTTTCTCTTCCACCTGATAACGTGTGAGATAATCAGAAGAACTTCAAGTAAAGGTTAGAAAAATATGAAAAATAAGACAAAAGATCAAAGAGAATAAGTTATTAGCCAGGTTCTTTTCACTGCAATAACAAGGAAAACAATATAGTGGATGAAGTAATAATCCCACAAATACACAAAAACACGTTAAGGAAAAGGTTGAACAAGGAAAAGAACAAGATTATAAACGTTCACAATTCTTCTAATAAATTTCTTTGCAGTTCAAAATAAATAAATAAATAAATAAAAGTTCACAGTCCTTCTAAGGAAATTCAGCACTTAAATAGAGTACGCCAGGCACATTTTATCATTTTTCTGGGTGGAAATCAGGTCTGAGATAAAAGTAACAAACTTATTAGAAAACCTGATACATAATGTCTTGTCAGCATATTCTGGTTCTTCTCCTGTTATACCTATACATTTACCATCATATCTGGTGGTCAAAATGAGTACCATAAAAGCATACCTCTTCCATTTCCTTCTTCTGAGAGGACTTTGAATCTGATTTCCAAGCAATGTAAAGTAGCCGAAATCCAAAAAAGGCATTGAGAACGGCATATCAGGACAAAACATAATCTCTTAGTTTTTTTAATCCCCATCTAAGGCCAACCAGATACCACATCTTATTTGATAACTTAAATACAAGAACAAAAGTTTAAAAGGGATGTAAAAAAAGCTAGCTACAATTTAAAATTCAGAAAAAGCAAACTAAGAAACAGAGTTTCCACATATTTCAGGTTTAAATGCTAAAAGAACCATTTTTCAGAGAGAAAGTAAAAGGCAATGATAACAACGAACATGGTGCTCCAATCAGTCCAGGAGCCAGCATTATGTCAACCAAAAGGAAGAATCATAAAAACAAATAAATAAAAGTATAAAGTAAAATAAAAACCATAAGATAAAAGTTCAATCCAAGGAGTAAAAACAGCCACAGGACAGTCATCATTTCTGAATTCATGTTGAAGGTGTTTTAAGACAAAATAACTCATGGATTTATGTGGAATAATGCAAACCTATGAATTGAGATGATATTCTAGAAAGTTTTGACAGCAAAGTGCATGGTGGAAGGTTTCCTGCCACAAATATTAGCTTAAGATTTTAAAAATCATGCTGATATCCTAAATGTAAGATTAGCCTCTATTTGATAACAAATATACTCTCTCCACTCATTTTCTTCACATGGTACTTGATAACTTATTCTTCCCAAAAACAAGTATAGCATAGGATGAAAAATAGTATCCATGAGAGCAGTCTATGTGATATTAGAACGCAAAATAACTTATTCTTGCCATGGCAAAATTGCCATGAGAGCCACTATGATAAATGTCTCATCTCCAATCTACCAGCATAAAATCACATATTAATTTAAGTAAAAGAATATTCATAGTTTTGGTGTAGACCTTTGTTAATATTAGAATTTAGAGAATAAAATTGAAGATGGATCACTCTATTATGCTAAATCTCAGATGATATATTTCCTTTTAACAATTACATCCTTTTGTTAATTTTGGGGGAAAAGAAACTGACATTCTTCATAATCAATGAGAGATGTAAGAACTTCCAAGATATAAAGGAGTAATGTAATAACTTAATCAAACTAACCTCTGTGACAATTATCATTGACAAACTTGCAAAGAATGCATCAAAAATGCCAAGACCAGCAGCCGCAAACCCAAGATCGAGACCTGCAGAATCAACATCATTCTGAAGATCGTTTGCAAGAAGCTGCACATGGCAAACAATTCATACATCAAGAGATTTCAAGAGGCATACAGTTGTAGTTAAATCAAAACCTAAATTATAAACGTCGATGCCTCCATGACCATGAGCATGGACGAATAATTATTGACAGCATTGATTGTTCTTACAACAGGAAAGACTAAAGCTAATTATCACTTTCAAAATTTTCACATAACTAATCAGCTGCTCATTGAAGAAGGCATAAAATTCTTCATTTCTGAATAATAAAATGGAAACCCACATACCATTCCACCACGGCGGCCGAGATCAATCGACTGACTTGATTCCTCCTTCCCATTTTCTAGCAGAGAATCCTAACAATAGCAAACAAACATCACTCTCAATCTGAACTAGAAATTAACGAAGAACATGACAGAAATTGTTAAAAATGCGAACCCATGAGTAGAATTATTGTTCAGACACAAACATCCTCCATCATACAGAAAATATCCCCCAAAAAAAGAAAAAAAGCTTCACAGATGGCTCGAATGCTGTCCTTTTCCATTCCCATATGGAACTACTGGCAAAAAGGAAATAAACCAATGAAATAAGCTGAATACCTGAGCAGAGACGACGGCGAGAGACCAGAAAATGAAGGCGGAAACGGGGAGAGAGCAAATTGAAGTGCGATTTCTAGGGCTCGAGAATGAACCCATAGGATGAAAACTATACCCAATTGAAGAGGAAATTTACGGAGAAGAAGAAGATTTAGGATCTGGATCAGAGGAAGGAGATCGAAGACATCAACATTGGGAATCGAAGGATGCATTGAGGGAGGTTGTCTGCAACAGAGATCCTGCGAAGAGCAAAGATCTCTGAAGCGCGAAATGGGGAACGGAGATTTATATCATATGATAGTGTCGGCTCCCTTTTTTTTGGCCTCAGTGGCAAGGATGGTGACATGATGTGACTTCTCATTTCCAGATATACAAATAAAATCTTACATTTTTTTTACAAGGAAAATAATTAATAGATTAATTTTATTAATTGTTGATAATTAAAGATTCGATTTTAAATTTGGCGAACATTTCACTTTTTTCAATACGATGCACGGTTATCGGACTGTTGAGTGGAGTTCAATAAAATCTTGCACTTGTTATATAAATGTTAGAAATAACGTTACAATCTTACGTATTTTTCAATGTGGTCTATGTTATTATATAATAAAATTTTTTATTATTTAATAATTTATTTATTATAAAAATAATTTTAGTAATTTGGTGATTTTTTTTTAAATAAAAGATTTTAAATTGAAGTGGATGATATGTGAATGAAGTTAGATAAAAAATAAAAAATGATTATCTAATTATATGTTTACTAATTATATGTCACTTCAAAACTTCAAACTTATTAATGTTACGTTATTATGGTAAAAATTTATAATCTTAAAACAGTATTGTTGGAAAAATACAGTTAAGTTTTGTGTTTTTGGGGCAAATGGATAGACCCTTAATCGAATAAATCCTTTTATTAATTTGAGATTTGAGTAAAAAAAAAAAAAAAAAAAATTTAAAGAGAGCTTTAATTTCTACAATATGTAAAGTGTTAAAATTTAATTATTTTATTTATTCCTTTCATCTCAAAATAATTACTGTTATTTGATTTTAAGTTTTTCTTAAATTATTTTTTACTTTTTTATTTTTTAAGATAAATAAATAATTTTTCCTATTTAAACTTTATTATTATCTATTTGTTTTAATTAATTGTTTTATAAAAAAATCTTTCTTTATCTTTTAACTTTTTCTTAAAGATAATATAG